AATTGGCTCATTTTTATTGTCATTTACAATGTTTTACATAATATTTTAAGCCTATTATAGCATTCGGCACGATATGGCCAGTTATGTGTTGATGTGCCGTAAAATCCAAACAAACAAACAAACTTGACGGATTGAGTTTATACCAGTTTCCTTCTTTATCCAGTCTTATCTGAAAACACAAACTGGCATACTTGCGTCAACAAAAAATCTACTTTGTAACGCAAGAAGATTGGATGCCCAAAAGTCCTGATGCAGCACCAATGAATTTTGCTGTTTGCGTATTCTTTAAACGATGTTTACAAAAACTTGAAATATACACTTTGGCAGGTCTTAAACTAGCATAAAAAGATAAATAGAAAAAAATAGAACCAACTGATATAAATGAAACCTTGCAGTCATGGCCAAACCGATTACAAAATGCATGGATCACTTACAGTATAATGCATATCAGCTGCTACCAAGTGTTTCAAAATTTGTGAATCACATCTCGTATAAAAGCAATGATCATTTTAGATCACACCGCAATAATAAGACCACCTTGGACCATTCCCGTTGGTGGTCTTAATTGGTGGTTATTCTTTATGTACATGCTCAATCAAACTGATTCTGAAATTTTCATGTAATTTTGTTGTGATTAATGCTTCCGAGGGAACACTTTGTTTCCAGATTTTTTTTAATGTTTGTAAATCTCTAATTATACATTCATAATAATGTTATATATACAATGTAGTTCTGATGATATTTATTTGAAACTGAAAACCGTATAATTTGCATTATTGTGAATGTCGTTTTACTGGATAATTCATTCGAGTGGACATACACAAGTTTACAGGAACCATTGAAAAATAAATTGTTTTGTTTTTGAAAATCTATTTTATACTTTATCAATGGAATGTTCTGTTTTTGTTACATATATAGAAACGTAGATACTTTCTTTACTCTCAGAAATTATGTAACCTCTTTCTTTTGATTTTTGAAGATTTAAGTGGGGATATAGAAATAGGCCGTTCGTCCGCCCGCCACACTTTCGTGCCCAGTTCACAACTGTGCCATTTATCCAAGGAATTTAAAATAACTTTAACTGGGCACAAATGTTTGAAATAATTTCAACAAACATATCCCTACCTTCGAGGTCAAGGTCACGCCTAGTGATAAAAGGTCATTATTGTCTATTTGAGGGTATATATCTCTGTCCAGTCCATGACATTCTTATCCATTAGGAATTTAAAAATACTCGGTGTAAGTGCTCATAGTAATGGGACAATATGTCGTGCGAAACAAACAGTCGCCTACCTCCAAAGACAAGGTCACAGATGGAGGTCAAAAATAAAAAAACTGTTATAAGATAGATTTTGTGTCTGGTCCATAGCTTTTTCATAGGTCAAGGGATTTTGAAATTACTTGGAACAAATGTATACAATAATGAAATTGAGAAAAAAGAATCCCTAAAGAAAGCCCAACACGGCAAAATTGAAAATGTTGCAGGCTCAGTTTGATTGAGCCTTTACATGGACACTTTGTGCCGTGCGCAACACACAAACCTCTACCTCCAAGTTCAATGTTACACTTGGATGTCAAAGCTTAATACCATAATGTCTGTTGTATGGTATATTTTGATTCAAGTTAATAATTTTCTCATCAAACAATGGAAATTTTGAAATTACTTAACACAAATGTTAACAATAAGAAAGTGATGTGTCACCCAGACGTCTACCTTCAAGGTCAAGGTCACACTTTGTGATAAAATGTCAAAGTTGTCTTTTCGAGGGTATTTTTGATGTCCGATCAATAACTTTTTGTGTCGCCTGGAAAAGGCAACATGTAGGGGTTACTTTTGTCGGCGACGTCGGTGTCCCTTAGGTATTGCCCGGAGCATAACTCCGTGACTATAAGTCGGATCGACTGCACACTTGGTGTGCATGTGTTTTAATAACCCAAAGTGCAGTGCACAAGAACCGATACGCTGCATTTCTTAATTTTTGGGTTATTGCGCTTTGTTAATGTTCATACTTTAATTTTGTCCGGGTTATTTGTCCTAAACAATAAAAGCTATGGACAGGAAACTTAGTATGATGATTGATCTCATTAAGAAAAAGTGCAGTGCATAAGAACCGGTACTCTGCACTTCTTATTTTTTGACTTATTGACTTTTGTTAATTTTCATACTTTATTTTTGTACGGACAATTTCCCCTAAAGATTAAAAGCTATTGACTTGAAACTTACTGGGTCGAGTGGGGGCTGCGCTCATTGAATGCCGCCTTTCCTTGTCGATCTTGTTTATAATATTTCATTAGTTGATAGATCTTACTAAGAAAAAGTGCAGTGCACATGAACTGGTACTTTGCACTTTTTTTGAGTTATCACCCTTTAGCGGTGTTTATAAATAACCTGTATTTAAGAAGATAAAGCCTAAGTGACAACTATACTGTTCGATTGTTCTCTATATGTAAACGATTTTCTTATCTGCTATCGATCGAAAAGTATGAGAACAATTGAAAGGCAACTTCAACAAAATTTAGATAAAATTCAAAAGTGGGCAATAGAAAATGGTTTTAAATTTTCAAAGTTAAAAACCCAATGTATTCATTTTTGTCGATTGCGGAAACACCATTATGACCCTGAACTTTACATATCTGGTTCTAAAATTCCAGTAGTCGATGAAGCTAAGTTTTTTGGAATTATATTTGACAAAAAAAAATTCTTTTATACCACATTATATATTATAGTGACATTATGCCCATCAAAGGGTATATAATTAGTGAAGAGGTCAAAGACAAAATAAGTTTATATTTTCCCATAATTACTTTCAATTTTATAATTTACTATGCATGTCAGAGCTATAGATAGCGCATGTGACTAAATACATTTCTATAAATATCCATCGGAAATACCTGTAACGTTCAATTTATAAAAAGAGTGGGGCAGTCTTTTTTATATTTAGATCATGTCTATATTTTATCCGAAAGACTTTCAAATATCAATTGTTGGTCAATCACCATTATAACAATCAAACTTTTGAAATATATAGAAAATTCAGCACAACTTGACAATGAAAAAATCAGCATAATGTCACTTTAAACATTTGAAAACTTAATGCCTGAAATCTTTAAATTTACTAAAGGTTTCATCAAGTACAAACTGGGGATCAATTTCTTCCACATTACTGAAATTATACAGAAGTCTTATCCGATCAAAATTAGATTATGGTTCTGTAGTAGATTGGTCTGCAAGAAAATCACATCTTCAAATGCTTGTTACCATAAATCACCAGGGTTGACGTTGACTTCAATATGCAAATAGAATGTCATCTAGCTAAAAATATTATTTTCAAACCAAGTTATTCTGAAAAATTTGTTAACAAACCAAAGGAATAAATGATGATTTAGATAAACTTAAAATTAATCCAGACAGTATCCTTTAAAATGACGAAAAGGATATTCCACTTTGGACTTATAATTCCCCGAAAATAAAAATTAACCTTTCAAATATAAAGAAGTCATCAAATTCATCTGAACATTTCAAAGAAAGTTTCTAGCAATTAAAGAAGAACATGAATATTTTATACATATTTATAAGGACGGTTCAAAAGAAGGTTGCAAAGCAGGTGCGGCTGTGTTTGAAAATAATTTTACATCTAGTATGATTTTACCAGGTAATGCATCAATTTTTACTGCTGAAGCAAAAGTATATAGACTTAGCATTGCCATACATAGTACAGCATACCCATGATAAATTTGTGATATTTTCTTACTCGCTTTCTGTTTCAATATCCATTAAAAATAAAAAAAACTGACAATAACATGATAAGGAAACTTCTTTTACGATTTCATGATATACTTAAAACAAAATCTGTTAAATAGTATTGGATTCCAAGTCATGTAGTATACGATGAAATGAAAAAAGTAGATGTTTTAGCTAAACAATCATTAAATTTTCAAAAAACTGACTTATTGTTACCTGCTTGTGATTTTAGACCGGCTAAAAACAAACTCGTATCATCTGAATTGAAAGCAAATTGGGACAATGCCGTTTTTAAATTACTTCACGGTGTAAACCCATCTCTTGATGTGCCACCATCTTTATCTCTGTCAAACCGCTATGATCAAACAGATCGTCTTCGATGCCGAATTGGACACACTTAAATTACCCACTCTTATCTCCTCACGAATGAAAATGCCCCTGTCTGTCTACCTTGTAATTAAAATTTTACTGTCAAGCATTTTCTTCTTGAATGTCATGATTTTTCACAGGCCCGTAATAGATTTCATTGTGTAAATTCACTCAAAGAACTCTTTAATACAATTCCATCAAAAACATCATTGATTATTTGAAAGAGATAAACTTGTATTCTAGGATCTAATTGGCTCATTGTCATTTACAAAATTATAGCATTCGGCACGATATTGCCAGTTATGTGTTGACGTGTCGAAACAAACAAACTATAGGTCTAGCTCCATGTCACGTTTTACTTTCTCAAAACTTATAAGGTTCTTATTTGGTCGCCAATACTCTTGGCTTAGCAATCAGTCAGTGTATCAGAGGTCTTTAATAATTTGGTCATGCATTTTAAACTGCGGGAAATATATTGACGGTATAATATGTCTCTATGTCTACGTTACAAACAACTAAATAAATTCTTTGGTGAACATAGTCGTTCTAGAGAACTTTAAAATATATGGTTTACATTGAGAAAACAATGGCGGCAATAATGTTTTCCTGAACTGAACAAGTATGATGTTAGCAGATACTGTTAAACAAATGCAAAATGTTAAGTCATGTACTTTAAATTGTAAATCTTGTGTGTGGGTATAGGGAATCAATATGAAATAAAGTATGATAAAACTAGTATGCTACTGAAATATGCAGGAGATAGATCGCCGTGTTTCAAAGCCAGTCACATTTACACTTGAGCTAGATTCGACCGATGAAGGTATGGAATTCCATATGATCATTGTGCGTTGTACTGTCATATATAATATAGTTTAACCAGCAAACGTTCTGGCCTAACACTTAACATGGTGTGGTTGATTGCGAATATAAGCAATAAAAGGACATATCACGAGCCAGAGAAATAACGAACTCGAAGTTCTCATGACTTTTTACAATATTTACAGACACTAGGCATACAATAAATGAGGCATTCAGATGGATGAGAAAATCCATACCATACATGTGATGTAAAGATGGATACACAACACAAAAACACTTTTCATTAATTTAAATGACCACATGAGAGAAATTTTGAAATTATGTCTATGGATATCAAAACATTTTTATGAGAAATTAATATACCAACACAAGTGTATAATTATGATTTGCAGTCACTCTAAAAAGAATTAAACACACACGCAAACACACACAGACACACACACACACGTTGATTTCACCTTGTCAAAGGTTTTATAGCATACATTTTATCATTAAATGGAATAAGTCATTATACACAGATCAAAATACAATACAGTTATGTTGTTTTAACATCATTTTTCAACCATTAAAATAATCAAACAAATGACAATGATTTATCAACAAAAAAGCATGTATAGGTGACGAATATAAAATAAGCATTAACCTGGTGCCTTAAATGTTCATCTAAAAATGATAGAGAGAATTTTATTTAGAAATATTATGGTTACTTGATAAAACTTTGCGTTACACAAAATGACACCTTAAATAACCCTTAATATGACAGTGTGATAATAACTATTTTAAAATAAAAATCAAGGTTACATACACAAATGTCCCCTAATAAAATGTTTGATTATAGATAGGTTAATTTCCATTTATGGAAATAGGACATTTTGTAACGAGAAGAGAACCATCTTCTTTGAGAAAATCTTTAACAAATAGACGCTATTTAAGCCAATACAATTTCGGATCATTAATTCGTTCGGTTGGAGAAGGTGCACGCATACTATCAAGTTGTTTAGGGTGATATGACACCACCTCCGTCAATGTGTCAGAACAACGGTTATCTGAAGGAGAAAAATGTTTCATATGTATTCAACATAAATAGCATATTTATTTGTTACGTTGGTCAACAATGTAAGTAATAACTTCATTTAATTACAACATGATTTGTGTTGCACTTAAAGAAAATGTGTGGCTTATTCTTGTTTTTAAACCATGACTGTGCTTTCGTTCAACTAATTGATAATATATAAATTATTTATACCAAAATCAATATATTTCCATATCAGAAATGAAACGAATTCAGAAATTTATCAGTTTAGATTTGGTCATTATTTAATAAGCATTTAATAAGATGAGTTACAACAGTACCTGTTACGGCAGGTTTTTTCCACATTTTGAATGTTACCACTGCGAGTATTGCTATTAAAAGTAGACCTACAAATGTAACTGTTACTCCAACTATGATTGTGGTATTGTCACGTGCCTGCGTTGACATATCTAGTCCTAAATCTACAATTGTATCATCGTCCTCCTCATTAACTGCATAACCTTGTTCGCCAGATACACGATAATCTCTTGCAACAACAATAGAAACTATATTTGAGACGGGCCCTTTATTACCAGCATCGTCAACAGCTACGACTGCAAAAAACATTGTTTCAACAAACGATTCTTCTGCATTTACAACAAGTTTCAACGCTTCTGTCGTTCCAACAACTTGTGGGTAGATAGAGGAATTTGTCATATTAAGGTGATCTGCTAACTCAAAATTGTCACGCAAGGTTTCAATATTGCTAGATATCCTCATTTCGTATGCCGAGGCTGTAAACAAAATGATGTCTGCAAATTACAATATCGAGAATTAAGAGAAAAATTAACAAGAAAAGCATTGATGCAAAGCATCAAAGGGCGACGCCAAAAGAATTTGATCCAGATTTGCACCTAAATACTTAACAAAAGATGTGAACTTTATAGCAGTACCATTACATGTGACCTGGAGGCAAGGGCCAGTTTAAGTTGAAACTTAAACCAAAAAAGAATAGACTCTGTCTTGCCAAGATGCAAAGACAATTTATAGTCAATTAAGCAATCTTATAAGACTCATGCTATAAGAAAGAATTTATTCAGATTTATTTTACGAGACACAAGGATTCCTGAGTCATCAGCATATAATCACAGGCACGAGTATCGGACCTGGGAAGAAAAAATATGACCAGATGACCAGATTGGTAAAAAAACTGTGTTTATAAAAACCCCAAAAAAATGTAAATAATGATCCCCTTTAGAAATATACTATCAACTTGAAGTATATTTTTAAAGGGGGTCATTATTTACATTTTATTTTGGTTGTTGACATTTTTAAGATGAACACAGGTTTTTTTAATCAATCAATGCTGGCCATATATTTTTTCCCAGGTCTGATACTCGTGCCTGTGCATATAATAATAAAAGCTTATTGCTTAGGGTTGAAGACATGTCATTGACATATATTAGACATAAAAGAAGACCTAAAATGAAGATCAGGGGGACACCCATAGGTACTCAGAGCAGTAGTAGAATGAGTACCAGCCACATCCACCCAGCTGCGGTCTATCAGAGATAAGACTTAAACCATGTAAGAATGTCATTATATATGGCAGATGCTTGAAGTTTCATGAAGAAGATGAATAAGAAACTTCTTCATGTGCATATAGTGTGTTCAACTGTATCAAATGCCCTTTGTAGATCTAAAAGTATCATGCAATACTGCCTTTGTCCATTTCAAATAATGCAATCTGTTAAATGAATCAAACATGTGTCAATTGAAAAATCACTTCTAAAACCTGACTGAAACTGCCTGACCATGGCTCGAACCCATGACTTTCCAGAAGACCAACTGAGCTATCCGGCCGGCTACACAATTTTTCTCTTTTAATAATGAAACAGTTCTAAACCACAACATATTTCCCCACAATATCGATTTGTGTCCGTGAATTTCTTATGTTACAGAGCATAGGAAAATTGAACTCATGCTTATATGCAGTCACAGGATGAGAAAAACTTTGAGCTTGACCAGAACTCAAAACCTGTGACCAACATAAGAAATTTTATGAAAGGCTGATTTGAAATTTTGCATCAAGGGCACCGGGCAAAAACCTGAAAATGCAACAAACCAACCACTTTGTGGTAGATTGTATTTTCATGTTTTCATCTGGCGCCCGGTTACTTTTTGTACTATGTTGGTTTTCATGTGGCACAAATCACCCACTATAAATTTAGTGCTCAAATTTATTCAAGGGCAAGTAACAATCTATTCTATGTACAGTCTGTTGTCGGGTTGACTCAGGAGACCTTGAGGTTGAGACCGGTGTCCCTTCATTACAAATAGAAAAAAATAGAATAACTATTCAGAATATGATTTTTGAGACTTTATTAATTATATTGCTTGATCCAAGTTTAAGGACATTTTCAATCAATACATGTTTTATCATTTATAACTTTAAATGAAAGTCTCATCCCTTTAATAATAATGACATAACTGTATCTCTTTAAATGCAGAAAAATTTTAAGTCTCAACATATCAATATACTACTGTCTAAGATATACATGTATGCACACACATTAATAATTCCAAGTTTAATATTAAATAAATATGAAATCCTAACATTGACATTAACATGCTTTTGATGACCTTACAACTGGTGAATTATATACAATAAAAATAGTATTATAAGTAATACCTAAGATAGACAGAAAAGAACAAATAATTTAGTAAACATGAGTTACTTCCCCTTAAAATAGGGAAAAGAACACCCTAAACAGCAAAATTATGAAATGCTGCATGCTCAGTTTAATTAAGCCATGCAAATAATGGTAAAGTATTCATAAAAAAATAGATGGCCATGTGACAGCAGTAATTGCAGAAAATCAGATAGCTTTCAACATCCGGATACTGGTACACTTTGTGAAAACAACCATTCTGCGCAACAGATAAATGTAATAAGGATAAAAATCAATAGGATAATCGTTTACAACAGTTCCATTACCTTTCCTTATACTCAATTGCAGGTGAACTTTCTTCTTGTACGAAAATTTTGAAAATGTATAAATGAACTGATACGGCCTCAAACTAGACCACAACGATATTCGAAATCCGGGTTTTAGTATTGTCAATAAAACTATGGGACAAGCTGTTAAACTTAACCTGCAACTTCGTGAAAATAATATCGCAATGCACATGCTTTTTACATAAAGTTATTGAATACAAATATAACAACACATTTGTTTACTTGATTTTTACGAATCAAAATAAAACTAATTAACACAACATGAAATTAACTGCTAATAATAACAGCTCCTTCCATAGGCAAAAATAAAAAGCATTCCATTATAGACGACGCCGCTCACCGGCGTCGCCAATAAACTGCGAATGAAACAGTAATGTTTTTATTGTTAAATGTCTAACCGTACAATATGACAGTTTAAACTTGTTGGATATGTTTTGAGCGATTTTCTTAATGAGTTGGCGTCTAAATCAAGAAATGTCAAAGGTAATTTCTATATCTAATTATTTACTTCCATGTTCAGTCGTTAATCTAACGTTTTTGTGAACCTTTGAGTATCAAAAGAAAAAAGAATATGTGATAATGTAATGTATATATACCTCGACCCTGATTTTTATCATCCCCGGTTGCCGTCCAAGTAAGCGTCAAATTTCTGTTTTCCCCACTTTCTGTTGTTTCGGACTCAATATTATTTATCCCTACATCTGTTATTCTTCCAGGAGATATAGTGTCAACTGATTCATCATAAATGTAATTTGACACATAGAGTTCCTCTGTTACTACATTCCGCTGGAAGGAATCCGGAATTCTTTCTTCTATTTCCTCTTCTTAAATGGGCAATTGAATAAGCAATATAAGTTACATATATCATTTGAAGTTTGATTAACTAAAGAATTGTATGCTTCCTCTGTTTTACATTTTAAAAACCATCTTGTATTAATGGAATAATCATATATAGCTTTGATATTTATATTACTACACGGGCGTCATTCTTTTATAATGTCCCAAGGGTATGCTTAATATCGTACAATGCTTTTGATACAGAACACGTCAGCGTACAATATTAATTTGTTATTAATTGATTTACTCCTATCGGCATGTTGGTGTCTTTTAACTTACGTTTTAACAACGTACTATGGTACGTTTATGCACATTCATTCATTAAACAACCATAAATAAGTTCCGATGCTTTTTGTCTTGGACCACTGTGCTTTGAAAAGAGGTTAGAGTTGGAGAATTTAAATCGGATAAATGCAAGCCATTATTTTTTGAATAATTGGAGAAATACAAGTCATATGAAAACAACCAACTCTAGGAAATATTTAGGGTCAACATCCAATTTTATGTACTCATCGACCTCTGAAAGTGTTGTTTAGTTTATGTTCTAGGTCACGATCAGAAATTCAATCACACAATACTAACAAATATAAACGTTACTGAAGACCAACCACGTGTCATTATTATAAATCGTGAATGCTTGTGCTAGTACTAGTTGGTGATGACGGTAACTATTGCTTGTACGAGCGAACAGGCCAAATCAACCAAACCGAGCCTGCAGCATTTTTATTTTGCCTTTTAATGCGGTTTTTTTTTTTTTTTTTTTTTTTTGTTTTTAGGGGGAAGATAGATTTTAGTTACCGTTTTTTCCCT